TTTAAGATGTGAAATACATACCTCTTCCATTGGACCTACTTCGCGGATGTCGTTTTTCTCAGTTGGTATGAACCTGACCCGAACATTCTGCAGTTGCAAGTATCTATCTCTGAAGGCTGAATCATGTGCCCTGAAGTCAAAGTCCTACATAGTTTGTAGCGGAATACGATCATCTCTAAGCTTAAATTTAATCCTTACAACAACAAATAGAAAAACCAAAGCCATAGCTTACCCACCCTCCAGTCTGATGGGTAATAATACGAATACCCATCTTGTCGATCCACAAAAGCCGAGTAGTTTTTTGGTATCTCTGCAAAACAGTATATGACTCAACAAAGTTATGCTTTTGGTCCCCAAAGAATGAAGAAGAGAGACAAAAAAAACTCTTTTTTTTTGTGCAGATTACCTTCAGCAAGAAGCCATGTTGCTGGAATTGAAGTTGCAACTAAGGTTCCTACTCCCACAAGAGCTTGCCTTCTCTTCAAAATGCTTCTGCTTTCTTTCTGGTAATCTATTGAATCAATTTAATATCAATCAATCCACAGGGGGCAATGTAATATGAGAAGAACAATGTCAACAAGAGTTTGGTTTCTTACTATTCTCCGAGGAGCCAAGATTGCTGCCAGATGAAAGTGAACAAGAAGCTTTGAGTAGACAGAGAATCTCTGTCTGGTAAGAAAATGTGTACTGTCAATGAACAATAGTGATATCAGAAATCAACATAAAGTGTTATTAACCAACCTTGTGAGAAATTGTTGGTGAGACACAGTAGCGGATTGAGATTGAAGAGACTGCCATAATGGCTACAACTCACAAGACTTTAGATGATCAATGATCATTTGCCTTAGTTTTTCTCTGTTTGGATAAGAGGTTTCTGCTTTAAAATCATTTCTCAGTTTTCTCCATTCATGTGGATAAATGGATAATGAAAGATCCAAACAAATATGTGGTTACAGATTAGTTACAGATCATCCATCCACTCAGAAAAATCACTAGTTAGAGAAGAGATTTATTGCTTTTGTATGTTTGCATTTTAGAAATTTTGAAGTGTGTATAATGATAAGATTAATAAAGTCCAAAAACATAGAATTTGAATTCAACAATAAACTGCAACAAGATTGTGTTTGTAAAGAAAGTTTTTGCCTCAAATACTCTACAATCACCGAATGATGGTAATAATATCTTAAAGCAAAACTGAGACTACTGAGAGACAAACACCACAAGTCTGTTTTATAATTGCAGAGATAGATAAAACTTCTTAGATGATGCCTATTTTGTTAGCAACATCTAAAGCGTCGTAGTCCGGTGTAAGCCTCACGTAAGCCTTCTTTGTTCCATCAGGCCTGCAAACACAAAAACCAATATCATTGTGT